TGTATCTAAAGGAGAAAATGGGGCACCTTAACAATCAGTGTTGTGGCGCCAAACATATTTGGGGTGTCGACTCCGTTTAAATAAGCTTTGATTTCGGGAATTCCAGGGCCAGCTGCCGTTGGCGCGAAGCAAACGCACAGAACGGCAGCTACTAGAGTTAGAATAAAATTTGCTCCGGCCATAAATACGAATCCCATTAGGTATCTGCAGAATTTGAGTCATCCAAGCCATCGATAAAAATCCCATTTGTTTCTTATTATTGATCACAAAAGCAAAGTTCTCGTTGAATGTTTACGTTCGAAACACAAACTGATTTAGTTCACGGCAAATGAAGTTGAAATAATTCAATAAACGCAGAAATATTGAAACAGCAACAAAAATAATTCAAGAAAACTGAGTGAATGGTGATGAGAAAGTACCTTTCTTGTTCAATATACTTAACCAGTCCAAGAAGTTTGTACCCAGCAATATTTTCAATAGCAAGATTGATAAGAGTTGCTATTACTCCTGTTAGAAGTCCAACTAAGAATGCCAGAAACCATTTCAAGAAAATGTACTGCAACACTTGAACTCTTGATCTGCTCCTCCAATCGTGCTTAAACAAATCATTCTCATTGATCCTGGATCATAGTACAAACGCTTAGGATCCGAAAGCCATTCAAATCTTTCTTGAACTCGCGGTATAAAGCCTTCACCGAGTATTATATTTTCACCTTCAACTTACATTCAGTAGATGCTTTACACAATAACAATAATAATAACGAAGCTGAGCTCGAGCTTTTGATAATCGAACTCGGGCTTTATTTATCAATATTAACAAGCTGATCTTGAGCCTTAACGAGCCAAGCTATAGAAAATTACATAAAACTCCTATTTTCGAGGCCGGGCCGAGCCGAGCCGACCTGAACTCAAAATAACTGGTTTCGTTTAACAACTCTAGTTCCAATCATCTATATTTTCATCTCAAATAAAATCCAACCCAACTTTTTAAAAATTCAACTTTGTTCTCCCTTAAACTTTTCAGCACTACTTTCTCTACACAAACAGAGACTGAAAACAACATATCACAAGCAATTAACTCCCTAAAAAGAGCCAGAAAACTCAAAAGGCAGCTAGCTCTTACTCATAGTCCAAGCTCTCTATATGAGAAACCTTGGCTCCAACAATGGCAAGAGGGTTCGACGAAAGTGTCCCGTTCCTCTTGAGCAGAGGTTGATGGAGGTTGTTGATCTCAGGGTCAAATTGGTCATCTTCTTCATCCGGTCTTTCCACATTCGACACCTCTTGTTCTTCTACTAACTTGTACAAATCCTCCATCTAAAAGCTTTGTCTGAGAAAGAGCAATTTGGCTCCACTGTTGTTGGAAATTATGTAAGAACAGCTGGTGGAGGTGTTAGGCACTGCACAAAATTGTCTTCATGTGAATAAATTTTTCTTTATGGTTGGGAAGGACTTTGTGTGTTTATATAGTGTGTGAAAGGTTGGGCATGGCATGTCCAATTATATGCTTGATTGACTGAGTGAGTGCATGTCAGGGACCTTGACTTGAGTACATGCATTTGAAAGATAGGAGTAGTAATTTTGAATTTACTA